CAACAGTACGTAGATAAAGTACTGTAAATTGGTTTGGGCAGTTATTCTTAACTATAATATTTGTCTTTCCATTAGGAAGAATGCTATCTTATTTTTTGTTTCTTTCTTTCCCTCTTGCTTTCCTAAAATTTCTTATTGTAGGATTTTTAAAGGGAAAAAATGGTGTGTATAACAGGTGGTGGAGGCTGGAAAAAATCTCAGGATGTCAGCTCATCCTGTTCCCTCCTCAGGCAGGGTCACCCAGACCTGATTGCCCAGGACTGTCTAAACAGCTTTTGAATATCTCTAATGAATGACTCCACAAAACCCCTGGAGAATCTGTGCCAGTCCTTGGTCATCATTCCCAGTAGCTAAGTGCTGAAGTTTGAGAGCACCTCCTGTGTTTCATTTTATGTCCTTTGCCTTTTGAACCTCTCACTGTTTCTATAACAGCAATTTTAACCTCTTAATAAAACTGTTTTATTCATCAAAAATCCTTAAAAACGTTTACAGAAGAGGCTCAAATATTATTTGGTAGAAGCTGGATGGAAGGTGGTTACAAGACTACTTTGTGCCTTTTCAGACAAGGCTTTCTGGACAACGTGACTGTGAACTGCAAATGCAGCCTCTCGATTCCTACATTCCCAAAACAAGGATTGTATTGTTTGCTCTATTCTTAAAGTAAAAATGGCCAAGTCTAAGTTTGTGGAGAAGCTTTATGTGAATTCAGCTGTTAGAGTTCAGTGAATAAAGTGTGGACTTTAAGTTTTTATCATTGATGTTTTCACTGGCATTGTGTGAATGACAGAGAAAAAACATCTTATCTCCTGCCCAGAGATCAGGTGTCACACAATGGCTTCCTGTAACAGTGGGCATCTGTGTGAACTTTGCAAATAAGTATATTTAATTGGAAAGTTTTGAGGTTTTAGAAGTTCTCTAAAGTTTCAGTGTAAAATGCTTTACTCTTATTTAAGAATTAGACTCTGGTTATGCTTCAAATTTTTATTCAAGTCCCATGCCATTGTTAAAACTACTGAAAATCCATCTTGGAAAAAAAGAAACCCTTCAGGAATGGCAGTAATCCACATTCTCTTCTAAAGTTAGTGTTCAAAACCTTTTTTTCTTCCATTTAATAAAAAGCAAATGAATAATGAAAAAAGTAACTTGAACATTTATTTTGATTTAAAGAAATTTGGAGCAGAATTGTGTTTATAATTTTGTTTATGGACAACACACATATATATATATAAATTTGAATACAGTCTAGCTACAGTTTTTCTTGAAGAAATTGCTGTAATGTCAGTGTTTGTAGAAAACACAGCCAGCAGAAGCCTTCTAGATTGTAAACCTCCTGCTACAGTTACTAAGTGCAGATTGTAATCTTTTTCATAAATGTCACCTTTTTGAGATTAAAGTTCATTTGAACTTGGCCTTGACTGTCTTGTCTTGTTTTTTCTTCTCCTACACTTCTGTTTAATTTTTTCTTTTATTTCCATCCTAAAATTATCACTGCTAATTCATACCATATATTCTCAAGTCTTGTTCTTTATTTTAAACAGCTATTCTCCATTCATGATATATATTCCTAGATGTATTTTTAGAGAGCAATCAGGTCTTCTGGAATTAGGACTTTTAAAATAGATATCACACTAATTGCCTTCTTATTTCATACAAATCTTACAGGCTGGAGGCCCCTCTCAAGCCTGGACTACTAAGTGAGATTTTATCTTTTCATTTGCAGGTTGTTCTCTGTTTTCCTGATCCTATACCCTGTAGGAACAGCTGCTCAAGAGCATATAGGCAGAGCAGATGAAAGTGGGAATATTCAGAGCTTTCCTATTGGCAAGGGTTACACAGTTACTTACGGATTACACCTATAATCCTATTGGTTTGTGTTCAGTCCTTCAAGAACGTACATGTTTTTCTTGGCCTTTATTTCATTGGTATTTGAGGAAATATTTTGTTTATTCAAGCCTTGAGCTGATCTCATTTGCAACACCTGCATTAATGGATTAATTTAATAAAAGAGAAGCAAGAATATAATCTTTTTCTGCTACAATTAGCTTCCAAAAGACATTAGAATACAGAATCAGACAAAGAACATCAAATCCCTAGTTATGTACTAGAATTCCAATGTTGATTAAATTTAATTGACTTCTAAATAACTCTTTCTTAGTTCTTTTCAAAGGCCATGATGTACTTTTCCCTGCTGCTAAAAAGGAGGGGACAGTTTTATTTGTTGTATTAGGTGTATTAGAAGATCCTGCAGTTGATACTGTGATATCAGAGTTGTGAATGGATAATGGCAATCCTGGTAGCAAGAGCACAATTACGTGTCAGACTCACAGAGAACAGACAGGCAGAACAAACTCTAAGCAAGACTCCCTCTACTACATTGCTAACCATTTTACAAATGGGATTAAAAGTTTCTCATTGTAACTGAGAAGAGTTTAGAAGGGGCTTAGATAGGGAATGTTCCCTATTTCCCATGTCTTCCCTGTGAAGCAAATGGGTCACAAGTGTAACTGCATTCTGTTGTCTGGATTCCTCACCTGAATTAAAAAAAAAAAAAGTCATCAATTGTCATTTGTGAATGAAGTTGAATATGGTTTGAGGGCATTGAAGCTGATAAGCAGGCACAATCAAGATGGTGTTGGGAATCACTTTGTCCGGGACTTCTTGGTTCAGTTTACTCTCCTTGTTTAGGAGGTGTGAATAATTTCAGCTCTCAAAAAAGAATGAACAGAACACTTATTTACAAAGGCCCTTGCCCAACAGCGTATAGGGACTTAAATAATAATGCCTGATATCAAAAGAGAGGAGCTTAAATTAACAAGACTGTATGGTACACTGAGTTATATTGCATTAAATACTGGGCACAGTTACTTCTTATCTTTGTGAAAGCACAATTGCCTACACCCAAGAGGATTTGTGTTCATATCCTTTGTCAAATCTCTGCTTATGGTCTCTTTTTTTAATGTTTCCTCTAAATCAAAGGTCAGCTGGGCATCTTCATTTTTATTTTTCAAAGGATCAGAAGTATGAAGAAAACTCTGAACTATCGAGTGACTTGAAAGACAGGTCTATGACAGTTCAACAAAGTCAGTAAAGACTATGAAAATAAACAGCCTGCATTAATGCTTAGAATCACTGAACTGCTGACTCCTGGGGACCAAAGGATTAATCAGCTTTTATTCTCAGAGAAGAAGCATCAATTAAGGTTGGTTTGGGATTTTTTTTTTTTTTTTCATAAGAGGAAGTTTTGGTTTACTGCCAGCACTAGCAAAAGTGCATAAACAGACAAATTGCACTGGAACGGTATCTGTAGCCTGTGAGGGTAAAGGCTGCTTGCAACATATATTTTTATAACAGGCTATGAAAGAAATGTGATTTGCACTTGCTGACACTGAACTTCTTTATCACAGCCAACCAGGTATTACAAAGCAAGTCATAGAATGTGTTTTTGTGTGTTACACAGAATTTATATATACTACCTCAGGCTTTATCTAATCTGGGAGTTTAAACTGATAGAATGTGTGGTTGGAACCATCCATACACTCAAGATTACGAACATCTAGGGCTTTCTTTTCATCTTCCTAGTCCCATTGGTCCATTAGATGTATTCTCTGTGTGAGATTTAGAAATACTGGCTTTTGAGAAAAATATGGTAGTAAATATTGTTGTCACAATTTTCTCGTCAGGGTTTTCAGTGAAGAGGCTGTTACTTTAGGAACAATAGTATGAAAGGAGTCTTCTTCTAAACTGTATGCAGTTTATCATGTTTTTCTGTTTCCTTCCTGTGCTGATTCTGTAGTGGAGATGGGTAGGTGTTCCATTTATTTAATGCTTCTATTTGCAGTTCCTTATCATTTGTGGTTTTGATTTATAGTGTTGTCTTGATGTAATTCAGGAACGGATAACTGCTGTAAAGAGTTTCAGGTGGTTGAATGACTGTGGGCAAAGGCATGTCATGTTCAAAATGTATCTCTTTGTGGTGACTTGAAGAGCCATTTAAATTTTAAAAATTATGACCTCTGATTTAAATCACATGACTGGTGAATAATATACTATTGAGTATATAGATTTCCTGTGAAGTGCCTCTGTTCTACCACTGCATTTCATACACTTTCTATTTTATTAATGGCATTTTCTGTTGTTTAGTAGTCATTAATGTATTTTCTGCTAATGCTAATAGATTTTTTCATGGATATGCAAGTATGCTTTACTCTATAGATTGGATCAAACCGCTAAAGGTATATGAATCCCTACATGAGATGGTCAGATATATTTTCCTCCCCAGAAATAACCTATATGTGAAAATAATATAGTCAGTGAAAGTTTTTTTTAAAAAAATTGTTATTATCAAGAAACCCCGATTAACATGTGTGAAGAACAATCATTGAAAGTGAACACAGATGCAAGACTTATGACTGCTGACTGCTGGGCCAGAAAATTGTATCATGAAAGGTCACAAGAAAGGTTGATTCAAGGCTTAAGCAAAGGAAAAAGAAGGAGAAAAAAAATATTTTTTTTTTTTTAAAGTCAGCAGTATTTAATGAAACAACAAGAGTAAAATTTATTTACTTTTTGTTGATTTCTTTTGGCTGAGGTCTTAATTCCCATGGACTCTTTGAGTACTTTAAGCTTTCTAGTATCTTACTGCTCCACAGGAATAAATTTAAACCTTTTGTTGTCTAAACAGAGATGGAGTTGTCCATGGGTTTTATGATTCTGTGCTTCCATACCTGTGCACTTCTTCTGACCACATTCCCATTTCTGTTCAGAGCAGGGGATTTCCTACCCATTCAAGTAGTAGCAGTTTGTGTTGGTTTTACATGGCCTGGCCCTTGGTGGTGGGGGGGGCCACGAAAGCAGCTTCTGTGAGAAGCTTCCAGAAGCTTCCTTCATGTCCAGAAGAGACAATCCAGGATGGGTCTGAGGATGGACGTGCTGCTGCTCAAAGCTGGCCAATGAGAGATGTTGGTTATGCCTCTGTGATGACATAGTTAAGAAGAAATCATAACAAAGTTGGTGGCACAGTTTTAATTCCAGAGTAAGACTGAGAACACGTGAGGAGAACAGCTCTGCCGACACCAAGGTCAGTGCAGAAGGAGGGACAGGAGGTGCTCCAGATTCCAGAGCCGAGATTCCCCTGCAGCCCCTGGGGATCCATGGGGGATGCAGAGATCCACCCACAGCCCCTGGGGATCCACGGGGGATGCAGAGATCCACCCACAGCCCCTGGGGATCCACGGGGGATGAAGAGATCCACCCACAGCCCCTGGGGATCCACGGGGGATGCAGAGATCCACCCACAGCCCGTGGAATAGGTGCCCACACCAGAGCAGGTGGGTGCCTGGAGGAGGCTGTGACCCCGAGGGAGACCCCTGGAGAGAGAGGGCCCTGCTCCCAGCCTGGAGCAGCCTGTCCTTGGAGGACTGACCCTGTGGAAGAGGGACCCAAAGCAGTTTTGGGACTGTGTGTCCATGGAAGGGACTCACGTTGCAGCAGTTTTAGGAAGACTGCTGCTCATGAGACAGAGAAGTTTGCAGAGAGCTGTCTCCCATGGGAGGAACCCCATGGTACAGCAGGGGAAAGACTTCTGTCACTGACCCTGAGACTTCTGTCCCGAGAGAAACCACATGTGATAAAAAATAAACTGATCAAAACCTCTAATTCCTGTCTCTCTGTGCTGTCGGTAGGAAGGAGAGAGGGGTTGGCACGGGGAAAGGTGTTTTTAAGGGCTTATTTTACTTCTCAGTGCCCTGCTCTGATTCTGTTAGTAATAAATTCACTTAATATCTCTAAGTTGAGGCTCATTTTCCCTTGATGGTAACTTATAAGTGTTTTTTCTCAGTCCTTAACTCATAAACCCTTTGTTATATTTTCTCCACTCTATCTAACTGTGGAGGGGAGTGAGCTAGAGGCTTTTGAGGGTGCCTTGGATCTGGCCAGCATCAAACCACAACACAGTCCTACTCAGTGAAGGTGTCTGTTCCATGCCCCAGTTCTTCTAGTGTAATGTCTCTTTCAGCACGTCAAAATATCCTCTGACAGACCCTTTTGTCATTCATGAGCTTAATTGGGGGACACCTGTGGCTGTACAGTCATTCTGGTCTGTTATGCAGCGTTCCTCATGTGATTCTTGTCTCCTTTATAGTGCCTGTCAGATAGTACCAAGTAGATCCAAGAATTGAGGGTTGGAGAGCTGATGGAGGATGAAATGCATTATAAACTGTGCATTAGCTGGTCATAATCTTGGGGATGGAGGGTGGTGACTGCTTTAAAAATGCATACCATGCAAAAATGCAGCCATATTTCATGACTTACACTTAAGTGTGGTTTGAGGACCAAAATTTTTTGTTGATTACTTGCAGGGCATACCCATGGAGACCAAGGTAATTTTAACAATGAGTTCAGTGGGTCCAGAAGCAACTTTTAAGTGAATAAATAATTTTTCTTTCAAACAAAGCCTCAACACTGAAAATACTCTACAACTCATATTGCTGTCTTCCATTAATATTCATTAAGAACTGAAAGAAACATGTATTAGGTTCCACTGGGTAATGGCTTCTACTTTTTTTGTTCATACTGAAGTTTCTTTTAATATATTCTGCAAAGTCTTTGATAACCTTTACACTCTTTAGTTGTGTGCAAGCTTTTACACCTCTTCCTCCACATAAATCACGGTCTGCTTCTGAATGTATCTCTATTGTTTCCTGTCATATTGCAGACCTCCTTTGTAGCTTGTTGAGACTGAGTGAATCTTCTGTTCATCTTGAATGAAAGCTGGTACAGAAAATTGGACACATTTACCAGGGTAATTGCATCTATTTGCAGTTCAGCTTTCAGTGGTTTTGTTGCAGTGAGAGAATTGAGATGTGGTGACACTATTAGGCTTTTTGACACAAAGCTGGGTGAGACTCAAGTATGATGCCTTCAATTAATTTCTCATTCTCTGGAAAAAAGAAGACCTGCAGAAAAGATACTTGTTTTCCCATCTACTATTATCTAGACTCACCATCTTTTGATTCTTTCTTCTGTGATAGAATTTTGCCTGTGATTATGGTGTACTTATATTTGCTTTGAGTAGTTGTAAATTATCCCCATGTTGGAATATTATTATATGCTAAGAAGTATATTGAAACACCATCTTGACAAATATTATTAAGATACTAATTATTAAGATATTAAGTAAAGGTGGTGCTCAAGCTAATTTATAGATTGTTAAGTGTTTTAATTACAGGGCAATACCTTGAAATTGCAGGCTGAATTTCTGATTTTCTGAGTTTTTATTTAATTAGTCTTTGAAAATATTGGTTCCAATGTCTCTTGTCTGATCATAATTTCTCAAATGATTCTGTAACAAACAGATGAATACACAAATCATGAAGAAACCACATTTTCATTCTCTAGTCACATGGAATGCAAAAAATAACACTGCCATATTTCTGTGTAGATTTAAAGAAAAGAGGTATTTATGGTATTTACACCATCAGAAATGCTTTTCAAATTATTCCCATAGTGTCAGGTCATTTTTTGTAGGTGGAAAATTATTTATTGAAAAATTTAAAACTTCACATATAAAGCAGTGATGAAATCTTACGTAAAGATCACATTTTCCACAATATTTTCTGAAGTCAATTATGTGAGTTTTCAAGCAGATGGATAGCCTGAAATTTCAGGAAAAAATAAAAATGTGTTATTTTTGACAGAGAACTCCAGCTCAGGTTTTGACTTGAATCATTTAAATGATTGCTTTGAGAAGTCATATAAATGACTTAATGAAGATCTCAGAGTAGGAGTGGTACTCTAAAATTCTAAAATATCAGAAGGAGAAAAATATTTACCTACTCACAGCAAGGTATTTCTTGTGGCAATTAGAGAAATTTACATTAAACTGTTTGGAAGTCAATCAAGATGTTGACATTAACACAGTATAGGCTTTTTAGAACTGAATGAAGCAATGCTCAGTGACAAATGGCTCTTTAATCCACAAGTTGTTCAGAGTTAGATATAACACAGAAAGCAATTGCAAGCCCTCACTACCAAACCTCAGTCTTGGTCTTCTGGCCCAATCAGTCTTTTACTGTGAGTTACATGATAAGAGAAATTTGTCAGGGGATAATGAAAGATCACAGCTCATTGACTGCAGCACATTTGCTAGAGATGAGAGATATGTCTTATTCTTCCTCAAGCTGCAGAGAAGGCTCCTCTGTGTGTTAAGAAGCATTAGGCAGCTGTATTAAACAAAAGACACATCCAAAGGCATCTGAATGCAGGAACACGTCCTGGCTGTGAATACCTAACACAGAAATAAGACCAGTCTAAGGGAGAGGAGGAGGACTTCAGACATGCCTCTGTCTTTGTAAGTGTCTAGGTATTAGGAGGATTGCTGAGACTTGCCTGATTTTTCACTCACTGAATAAAGTGCCAAAATGACTAAGTATGAGGTTTAAGGATTTAATTCCCAGTCAGATGCTTAAAACTTAGGCATGACTGCCCAGAAATTCCTTGTGAATTGAGGCCTGAGACTTTTCTTGCATCATTCACAAAATTCCCAAGAATTGCTTATTCTGATAGGTTTCTGTAAAAAATAAGAATATTCATGCCTAATGTTACAATTTAAGAACATCAGTTTTTGTGGAAGAAAATACACATGAAAATAAATTTGGCACACTTAGAAATTTTGCATCCTGAAATACTTCATATGTCTGGGATAATTCTGTAAGACAACTTGCCATTATTTTGCTGAGGGGAAAAAAAAAATCTTTCAGAACATGAAACATGCCATGAATAAGATTTAACAGTGATTAAGATAGGGCTGATGGCTGAGGTCTAAAAGGGATATGAATCTCCTTCCCTCCCAAAGGACAGGTTTGGAGCTCAGTATGAGCTCTGTTACTGACATTTCCTGAAGAGAATGGGAGGTAAATGAAAAGATTCCAGTGAGCAATTATGGAACATGTTTATTTTATAGATATTAAGGATCTTTTGGGATTTGGGGTTATTTTTTGGCACATATTTCTGTTTAAGAAGGGAAGTGTACTGAATAGGTGGTGAAAGGTTGATAATTAAAAAAGTGCTATTACAAATGAAAGACTGAGTATGCTAGTTGCCCATGCCAGTTCCCAGCTGCATTCCCTCACCTCATGGCTGGATTTTCTCGCTGGACTTTCTACAAAATAACATCTGTGCATAAGAGGTGGTAGTAATCACGGCCTAAGATTTCAGCAGAGAATGAAGAATTATTTATTTACTGAGCAAACATTAAAAAATAATTGTTAAACCAATTGATACATGTAAAGCTTCCTGGTTATGACAAAACAGTTATGTGGCTTGTGCACTTTTTAAAACTTTGTTAATATGTCTTCTGATTACTGCACCAAGGAAAGTATACAGTAATCAAGGTAGGCAAGAAAAGTCTTAATCAAAGAATAGTACAGAAGAGGAGTGAGTGAAATGAAGTTTCCCACTCTGTTATGTGGTGCCTTATCACAGGGAATTGGTTAAATGAAAAAAAACTTAATAAGGAAGGAAGCAACACCAAATTATTCTAGCTATGTTGAGAATGTACATGAATCTCATTTTTCGTCTCCTAGGAATGACTGCAGTCATCTTAAGTAATGAAATTTTTAGGTTAAATGAGTGCCAGTGCAGATCAAAAAAGTAGGACATGAAATTTTTTTTAAGCTATTCAGCTGTTGTTATGGGGAGCTTGGAAATGTGATTTACAGGAAATTTTAATGTAAATTAAAAAGAAGCTTAGCTCTGTAGAAGAAATCTGTATTATAGTGTGAAAATGTACAGAGTAATTCTGTGTATATGTCAGTGTTGTAAGACTGAAGCACAGAGCTTGGCATGCTGTTCGTAGGGGTGTGGGGCTGTGTTTGAAGAGAGCTGTGGGAACCCTAGCAAAAATTCAGTTCCTTCACACACTGCATTAGGAGATCTGGGTTTAAAAGGATGCAATTCTGTGGAAGATATATGGATTTTTCTGAGACTTGCATTGAAGAGGTTCTTTAGAGACTGCTTATAGATAGAAAACCTCTCCTCTATGTGCTATTACCTGGCAGTGAGGAGCTTGTATAAGACTTAGGGGTACTTTTGTTACAGTGGACATCAACACCGCTCCTTCCTGGCTTGTTTTCTAGCTTGTATTCTTTTGTTTCTGAAGAGAACCTGTTTATCTGATGTTTTTTGTCATATTTCTAAAACCACTTTATCAAGTTCCATTCCATTCTGTGGTACTGGGCCTCCCTGTCACAGTTAATTTGGGATTTTCCTGTTAGTGCAGGATGCCTAGCAGAGCCAAATGAGTGGGTTGATTTGTTGTGCTTTCTATCAGAGCCATCTGGGGACTTGCTGAAAAGGGAACTGTTGTGTTAGAGGAGTTATTGGCTGTATTCATGTTCTTGTGTGTGTATGTGCCTCTCCAAGTATCAGAGCATTGTTTCATGTCCACTGGAGATATTACCTGCTTTGATTGTTAAGAAAACACCTGCTTTATCTTGTATAGCATCAGTTTTGCCTCAAAGATGTGTGCAGCACTTCAAAAAGAATAGCCTTCAATTAAAAAAAAAGTGAAAATATATTTACAGAGTTTTTTTCAAGATGTTCACAATGCTGTTTCTATTAATTCTGAGTTGTCCAAACTAAACAACATACAGCTGTTGCAAATTAACTTCCTTGTCAAGACAAAATGTTATGTGAAGCATTGAAGTAAATTGCAAATGGATCAGATTAGGATCTTTTGCTGTCAAGAAAAATAAAATATAATATCAGAAATTATATAAGAGTCTGCTTTTTTGTTGCTGTTTTGAGAAGGATACAAAGAAGTTTGATTATAGTAGTATCTGAGTTCTTAAGCGTATTTCACATATTTAGCTTGTCTTTTTTGCTTTTCACTGTCTATTGATAAATGTGATTAGGCTTTTGGGGTTTTTTTGTGAACAAGCCAAAGATGCCTTATTGAGAACATGGTCTTTAACAACTAGAATGGCTAGCACCAGAAAGGAGAAATAGTGTCTTTTTTTTTTCCTAAATCTTTGCATAGTAGAGAACTAGTCTAAACACTTGTATTGATTTGCTTTTATTTACAGTTACACATTTCTCTTAAGATGCATTCCTTGGCTGCTCTCTGATCTGACTGATATGTTTTAAAAAATGTTGTAGCCCTGCTTGAGCAGGGAGCTTGGACCAGATGACTTCCACACATCCCTTCCAACCTCAGCCACTTTGTGATTCCATGATTCCATTCAGGCACCACCCCATGGTTGCTCTGGGCTTGATTTAGACAAGAAAATCTGCTATGCAGCCCCCCCAAACCAGGACAAAATTATTAAATGTAAACTATTTGGGAACAAATGATAAGATCTGAGTGTCTAAGGAAAAAATAGTTTATTTCCTTAAATGATTGGACTTGTATTGGTAGATATCCCCTTTCTCTCTTGAGTGGGACAGTAGACTGACTTATGGATCAATATACCTCAAGACAGCATCTTGTCTCTTGAGGGCTTTTGATATCAAGGTTTTCAGAGGTTAAACCCAGGTCCCAAATTTATTTTTGGTATATACATCTAAGCATGAATGAAATGAATGAATGGAATGAAGATATGTATTGTACCTGGAGAAAGGACTCTATGCATAAAGGCATTGAATCTATTTTCTGATTGTCAGTTCATCTAATAAAAGATATTATGTCTCTTGCCCCCTGTGTAGTTCAGTAGGTTTCAGGGTCTCAACACAGTTTCATTGCATTTATGTCAGTGAAGATATTTTCAGCTTTGCAGATGGCCTAAAATTCACTTGAAATTTCACTACAGCTAAGATGTGCAGTATCCAAACTGATCCAAGTCTACTGTTCTGCAAAGAACTTCAAATCAGTATTGATTATATACTTATGAAGACAAAGGTTCTTTGCAAAGCAATATATTCAGCAATGTTTTTCATGATCACCATCCATCTTTATCATAAAATTAGTATTGCCACCTCACAGTGTAGCTGAATGTGCTATGGTTTTATTATTTTAGTTAGCTAATAATCAGACTGAGTAAGAATAGAATAGAATAGAATAGAACAGAACAGAACAGAACAGAACAGAATAGAATAGAATAGAATAGAATAGAATAGAATAGAATAGAATGCTGCATTTTTTCTTGTTAATCTTGTTTTTCACCTGTGTGTTGTTGAAAAATTAAATAATTGATCAAAAAAGAACAGTTGATCTTTTGTCAACATCTTTGTCTAGCTTGTGGTTTTGTACTAGAAATCTTGTAATTCTGCATTTGGTGGGCAGTTGCTGTATTTGTTTCATGTTTGTTATGCCATGGAATGAAAACTAATCACAGATAGAGCTTTGTACCTCGACATTCCAAGATTACTTCACAACTATTTTTACTACCAGTGCTCAGGTCACGTGTATCTTAAAAATTATTATAGTACTTTGTTCCTTGTCTTGTAATTCGCTTCAGAAGAAAAAATACAAGATCTTTGAAATGAAATGTGATATCATCTTCATAAACTTAGAATTAATATATTAATATAATATATATTAATAATATATAATATATAATATATAATTAACATATATATGAATAAACTTAGCAGTTAATATATTCTTCATATATTTAATTAAAATTAACCCCCAACAAACAAACAATAACAAACAAAACCCCAGCCAGCCACACAAACAAACAAACAACCCCCTAGAAGAGCACATTGCAAGGACAAGTATTTGAGTAAAATCTGAAATGTTTTCATTGAATTACCATTTTTCTTTTTTTCCCTCAGAAAAAAAAAAACAACAACTTTCCCAAAACCTGTGTTTTCACATCTTCTGCAAGGAATTTTCTCTTTTGATTTATGTTCAGGCAAAATGGCAAAAAACTTAGAAGATGTGTACACCTTTTTTCAGCTTTTGTTGGATCATACCGAGGTGGAAGGTTTGTAGTTCAGCCTGCTGCTCGAGGCAGGGTGAGCTGTGAGATTAGACCAGGCTGCTCAGGGCTTAGTCTGGCTGGATCTTGTGAGTTTCCAAGGCTGGAGGTTGCACAACTGGGAAAATTCCTGCATTGCATGGCTGTCCTTAGATGGAAAAAAGGTTTTCCTACATTTAGTATGAATCTCTCATTTTAATTTGTGGTTATGTCCCTTGTCCTACCACCATGTATGACAGGAGAGTCTGGCTTCATCTTGTTAAACTCCTTATAGGCATTTGGGAGCTGATTTTAGATATTGTCTTCAACCTTTTCCAGAAAAGATTTGAGTATATACTTTTAATAAAGGCTTCATTATGTCTTTATTGCTTATATTTTATTACTATTAGTTTTACTTCCATAAATGTGTGCTGGTGTGCTATCATTTCACCTTCTTTTTAAAAGAATACTAATAGGAATATAAAATTAAAATGAAACTGTTGTTCCATTTTCCCTGGATGAGTTCATTTAATACATTTTCTTTTGCCTGTTATGTAAGGCACAAATCCCAAAATTGCCTCCAGTTAATTTCTGTTTAAAAATTGATTCAGCTACATAAGGGCACCACATCTTTGTCCAGGTAGCAAAATATGCCCTTTCATTAGAAAACCAGATCTTGGTTAACTTGCTAACCACGCTACAGCTTTACCGTCTCAAAAGACTAATGAGCAGCTGGTGGCTTTTCAATAGATACAGCATCCTGTCACAATTATTCCTTGTCTAAAGCCACTCCAAACCAATTTATCTATCAAGAATTAAGAAGTAGCTTGCCTGCAACAGCTGAAGTTCACTGCAACAGGTGTGTTTGAGAGGCAGAGAATCAAGGTCTGTGGCTGCAGTCAGAAGATGTGGGATTAAGCAGAGGCTGTGGGACACAGCCAGGCAATTGGCAGATGAATAAAAAGTTGCTTCAAGCAGCCTTGCTTTCCCAAATGTGGTGGAGAGCAGTCTGTGGGACACAGGGATACTGACTTGATGCTGTCCCAGTTTCTAAAGAGGAAAACACATAATTTTTTTTAAATTAAATGCCACTAAAAGATGGAGACCCTCCAGAATTTATATTATCATTGTATCAAAGAATTAGGAGGGAAGATGTGATTTCAAAACATGAACTCTTGCATCTTTTTTAAAGTAAATTTTAGTCTTTTTATATCCACCTGTTTGAAGACATGATTTTTAGCTACTGTTTTCCATTGCATCTCATTTCTGTTCAAATTATCATAATCAGCAGTGTACAATCACTGCAGAAAACATTAGCTGTATCAGGAAATGTGTCAGACTGTTTCTGTATTGCCATGTGGATAGCACACTATATCATTCACACACCATGTAACATTTAGAACTATTTTATACTGACAGGTGACCCAGGTTTCATTCCATAATTATCCTTTTTGTCAATTTTCCTTTCTTGAATGGTGTGACACAGAGAAAGTTTCTGTAGCCAAAAAAGGTTGTGATCTTTACTGAAACCAGTCATACTCTGGGAAATGAGAGATAAAACAATTACAAATAATAAACAGTTGTTATAGTTCTGAATATAAAGACTGGCATAAAACTTATATCTAATGCTCCTGCCTAACCAAAGTTGTTTCTGTATTTGTAGAGGAAACTGCATTGGTAATGGAGATTACAAGTAGGAATAAAAGTTTTTAAATTCAGTGGCAAAATTATGATGGAAGCTGATTATACTTTTTTTTTTCCCTTCATTAAGTGGAATCCAAATAATGCACATGAGAAAAACTGAGCACATATGATTGTGGAACAGAAACAGATTCTACTTACAGGCTATGGTATGTAACAGAAAAATGTTTGTGGGCAGCTACATTCAGCACAAATATTACTCCATCAACCTAATGTCATATTAACCTTACAGAAAGGACTGCCTTGAGGAAAGTGAAGAATATTGATTAGTAAGTGGCTCTCTTGATATATTCCATTTTCCTTTGTGACACACTGACTGAGCACACTATTCTGATTCAGATGTTAATTTATGGAAATGGATAATACAATGTATCTGATTGCTTAATTATGCATCCTGGGGATTCATTCAGAATCCTTATAATACATCTTGATGACCTTTCAAAGGCAAAACTTGCAATTTGCATCTTTTATTGGGATTTAATCAACTGGACAATACTTCTTACATCTTTTTCTGTTGAGGGAACTGGCCCCTGTCTCTGGCACCTTTGTCTTGTGCTATAATCACTAATCTCTAATGCAAAAAGAAGTCATTCTCATGTAGCATCTGTGAATCTGACAGCAAACAGAGTTACCCCTCAGTGCTGTCTCCTTACTCTTTAATGCTGAAATAGAGGCTACAAAGGTTTGGTACTGAGGGGCCTGCAGTGTGCTGGCACAAATATGGTATAAAGGCCAAATGACACAAGCAGTGAGTACAGGAAGCTGTACATTGCACAGTGTAATAAATGGCATGGAGAAAGTGAATTTGTAATTCCCATTTGGACTGTTTCATTATACAGAAACAAGGTGTTTCTACTGGAAATAAAAGAACTTACTGAAAATCGAAGAAAGGCCTCTTCAGTGCATCAACTGCAATTAACATGCATAATTGATTTCCAAGGCGTGTGAATGAAGAAAAAATATGACAGACTAATAAAAACAACCAATGTTTCATATGTATAATATGAACATCTTGAGTTATAATGGTAAATATGGAGCTGTTAGATAGTGTATAAATCCTTATGTCACCCTCTGGGGTATAACAGCAAGTCTCTGCATTTGAATCTAAGAGCAACAGTCCCTTGGGTTTAGTTAACTACCAACTACAGAGTTTTTTCATTTCTTTCAGAAAACCTGAGCCTCTTTATTTGTTTCAGTCTGTACATCTTGATGGTGTGCATCACCATGGGGTTCCTAACTATTCTCAATTAATCATAGTAAGAAAGGTGACACTTTTGGCTGCCACTCCAAAACAGCAAAATAAATAACTGATGCAGAAATGACACATCCTGTTATGTTCTGTATTTTGGAACACTGAGGCAAATCAATGTTCTTGAAATCCAAACACCTCTTACAGTTTCAATGTTCCATTATGCTACCAGAGTCTTAGTATAAACACCTGAAGAATGTAATATGTCACAGAACTAAGTAAAGATAACTCTAAGAATGAAAATAACTTCTATTGCCCAATACAGAGACTTACAATACTAATAGTCTGGCAAAATTTAATTGTTTATATAACTCACCACCAATTAAAAAAAAAAAGGAGTCAAATTAAAACTTTTACACACTGTCCTTTTTCTCTTCCCTTTTCTTTTTTCTTTTTTTTTTTTCTTTTTTTTTTGGCTGAAATGGTAGACCAGTTTAGGTTTTCAAATTTTTTTTTTTCTCTAACTAGAGATATTAAGATAAAAAATGACCTTGTCAGCGCTAAAAGTCTAGGAGAGGTAATAATCCACCAAATGAGTTGACAGGACCTATAGGAAGGAATCAAAAGCTTTTCATGGTGTGGCCAATTCACCAGTACGATCTGTTTCTGCAGAGAGCATAAAATGCACTTAAACACTCACAAAAAAATGTTTGGCTGCAGACAGTACTTTAAATTCTTGCCACCTTCCACATATGCTGTACAATGGACATGCTGCTCTATCATGTACTGAGTGCTCCTGAGAGTTACTGGGCTGGGAAAAATGTAATCTTTGCAATAGTGATAGACAGGACGGGGTTTTCTTTTTAAAGAGCTTCAATTCACATCTTTGATATTCTGTTGATGAGTAGCTCTGGGTTTATATTTTAAAGCCTTTATTGGCTACCAGATTTTATGAAACTTAAGGCAATTCAAATATGCATTTTTATTTCTTTGGTTTTAGTTACCTTTTGTGGACTGTCTTCTCCAATGGAACTGGTAATGGATAATAGTATGAAGGAAGATCTACATATCCTAGACTTTGTAAAAAAAGTCATCTCACAGCTGATTAAAGTTTAAAATGAAAAAGTATGTTTACTTAATTAATGATCTAATCTAAATGACTGAAGACACCAGCAGAGAATGCAAATGCACTTAGTCACAAAATATGCAAAATGCAAATACAGTCACAGACTGTGGTGGGGTGGAAGAGTGTTTTTTTCCCTCAAAGAAGAGAGATTAATAGCACCCACTGTCTCAAACGTGTCTGGCAAACTTTGTACTGATTAGTCTGAGGCTAATCTGCTGCACTCAGTAGCTGAATAGTCAGGGTGAGATTTTGACCGAATTTATGAGTTATCTCTACAATTGTTTATTTTCATGTTTGAAAGATTTTTAAAGCACAACAGCTTTCTGAATAATAGGGAAGCATCAAGTCTTTTCTTTACAAACACATTTGTCTGACATGCATATTTTGCATGACAGGTTTCAGATTGTGACAATTACCCTGGGTCAGAGAAAAGAACATCAATTAATTCTAGTGCTTGTAATGAAGAATGGAAGTACCTGATGGAAGTACCTTGATTGAACATGCCATGTTGTATTTCATATGAGAGCTGAACAGAAAAAAAAAATCAAAAAAAATCTATGAAATGTTGACTCTTAGCATGATTTTGAGCCAAAACCTCATGCTAGTTGTTTCTGAATACTGTTTTGTTTTCTGTAAACCATGGCAGGCATGGAGATGGTTACCTGAAGGGTGGCTGGTAATCCCTGGCTGTGCTAAGGCTGCCCAGTGCCAGAACTGGTACATGGGTCCCTCCTATTCTGGGCATTTTGCTACTGTTCCTGCCTTCTCATTAGAGCAGGGATTCACTATTGTGCTGGCCTTTCACTGCTAATGACTTTGACTAATGTTTCTCTTGTCTTTGTAACACTTCCTATTAGCTGGTTTCCATTTACCAGGTTTGCTGGGGGGGGACTCTTGTGTCAAGATCCAGTACATATGCCTCAAATATCTTCAGTCTTGCTTTCTGAAGCAAAAAACCTTCTGCTTGGCAATTACTTATTTTTCTTTATTGAAGGACAAAGCCTTTCTATCCAGCACCCAGATCTTCTCATAGCAATTTGCAGTTAATTTTAGATGTTGATTTAATCTCTAATCTCCAGTTCTCATAACTGCTTCTTTTCAGTGACATTATGTTTGAGATTTAAAGTTTGTGTTAAAAAAAAGAGCAGATGTTTTGTATATCTTTGTTTTCAGCTTCTCCTGTCTAAAATGTCACTTCCTATTGAGAACTTCCTTTCATCTTATGCATTTCTGTTGAGACAGATAAATTCCTATGGTTACTTTTCTTTTGCTTTCTTCTTCATATGTGGTTTTCTTGGAGCAGCTGATTCTGAACAGAGCCTGCTCCACAGTTTTTATGTTGTGGCAGTGGTACTCTCCCACTTATGACAACATCAAACAACCATTAAAAATTTGTTTTACCGACCTGAGGTGGTGTTGTGGATTGCTGCAGAGTACTTCACATTTCTGTAAAAGTCTTTGAGCAAACAGACATATTTTGATGGAATTTTGAAGAATACTGTTCAGTCTTTTTGTGTTTTTATTTTCGCCATTCTGGTATTCCAGTGGTGTTCCAATTCAAGACTTTTCCAGAATTTTCATTTATGAGGTCCCATATTTCTCTGCTTATTCCTTTGGTCTTGCATATCTCTGTGGATACACAGCCATAAGTGCTGCAGCTGAAGTTGTCTTTACTGATTGCTGTACACTGTTCTTCACACCACCCTTCACTGCTTTTAACAGTGCCTTAAATCTGCTCTTTTAGCTTGTTCTAGGTTTTGCTTGCAGAGTCGCATAGTAATGAGATTATTGTGGCTTCAGCTGATATGGATGTCCTAGTATGTACTTACATTTTAGGCAAGTGATCTGAGTCTTGCATTAGTAGAAAGATGCCTGGGATGTTTTGCTGTTCTGTCTGTTCTTGCTATCTGGCAAATCTTTGTGTGTTTTTTACGTGTTATTTTGAAGGAAAAAATTACCAAAGCAAAACTGGAAAAAGCACAATTAGTGCTTAGTTTCTGTGATTGTGGTTTCCTAATGTTCTTTCCACCTGTCACTCCAGATTTAACATTTAAAGCCACCCACTGGAAGGGGTGCCACGCTCTGGTATCACCAGAGACACCTTAGAACAATTGCAGTACCAAATTGCTCTGTTCACCAATCCCAGATCCCATATCCATTCTGACAACTGACAACTCCAAACAGATAGTCCTGAGTCTGATTTCTGTTCCATTGGTGAGCCTTCTTCCATGTGTTCTGTTAACATGACTGCTGTAGTTTATCCAGGATATATTTCTTCTTTAGCTAGAAACACTTGGCCATTTATTCTCTTTAATCTTAAGGTGTGAACTTAATGTTTTTAATACACCACAATAATAACAATTCTTTAAGTATCCAAAATATTTCTGCTTCAGAGTAATAAGAAAGCAAACACCAGGCCCATCAAAATCAGTAGATAGATTCTCGGTAGTGTCAGCAGGCTTTGAATCATGCCAAATAAACACATTCAGTTCACCAGACTGTTTAGCTTTGAGATGTTGACACACTGGTGCCAATCATGGAATGTGTTTAAAAATGGATGGTACCACAGCTGGACACAAGAAACAGGAAAAGTAGCTGGGGCTCAGCACTGTGATCAGAGGTGATACCACTGTTGAACACGTGACACTTGTCTTGCTGGTGAGATCCAGTCTGTGAGCAGACACTGGGGTTGTTAATGCCTTTGGGGCTCCTGTTAGCCCTGGTTCAGTGGGTGGTTTGCTGAGGACTGTCCTTTAGTAGGAGGCTTTTGTAGCATAAGGGCTGCTCACCACATATCAAACAGTGTTTGCTAATCACTGTTCAATGATAATGACTCACTTCAAAATATCAGGTACTGAAAGGACATTTATTCTTCAAAAAAATGCTCTGCATGAAGTATGCAATGATCTACACTTTGTGCACTTGCTGCTAGTACAAACTTATTTAAATGAATACATCTGCTGTATGTACAAGTTATCTCATACTTTATTAGCTGTATACAAAATCACTGACATTGTAGATTGTTTGGGATATTATGTCAAGGCCAAAAGCGCAGTAGAATTGAGCTGTTTCTTCTGCACATGACATTCCCTAAGGCAGAGATTGCTAAATTGCAATTTAGATCTTAGAACTTAACCTCAAATTTTTCTATAAGAGGAAGTAAAAGATGGTTTTGACCAAATAATTTTTTGTGACAATATGCACTGATAGGTCAGATCTGCTACAGGATTTGCTTAGATCATTAGTGATTCATAAGTAAGAGATACTGAAACAGGAGAGTGATGAAAACTAGAATGTGCTGGCAATTCCTAACTCCATGTTGAAATCTTTTTGCTAGTTACCTGGAAACTAATCTTGGTCCCACTCTGATGACTTATTTTGTGTGATTAAACAAAGAAATAGAACAAACAAGTAGAGGCCGATGGCACAGGACATTTAAAAAAAACCCCACCAAAACAACAAACAAACCAAAATCATTATGTTTTCAGCTTGGTTATAAGACTTTATTTTCATACAGTGACATGACTGGCTGTTCTACTGCAGATAGATAAGCAGGGGAATTTTTACTAGTTTCTTCTCTAGGAATACAATTAACTACCCCATATAATCAAATCACATACTATGTATGATTTTTTTTTTTTCTTTTCTGTTCTTAATTGAGTTATATTAAGCATAGCATTGGATGAACTTTCTTACAAAGAATTTTTATACTTTTCTTTAGGCAATGTTTTATTCTCCTCTCATGTTCACTTGAAAGCCTGTCATCTGAAATCATTCTGTGCTTCAGGTTCTAGGAATCAGATGAAAGTGAAGAATGCTTTCATGCCCCATAGATTTTAATCCCATACTATTCTGACTCAGTTATTTTAAATGAAGACTTACAATTCCACTGTTAGAGACATTGCATAAAAATTTAATAAAGGAGAAAATAATAGTTTTTTATTTATTTTTTTTATTTTCTTTTTGTGAACAAGGTAAGCAGTTGCCTTTGCAGAATGAATGTTTCCAGGAAATGAAATATCTGTGCAGTGAACTTCAAAGCAATGCTGACTGTATTTATTTATATCTGTGAGAACAGTCATCTTCACAAACATCCCACCATGTAGCATCATTAAATTGACAGCTTCTACTAAACAGTAGCCAGCTGAATGCCACTGCAGGAGACTGTATAAATCAAAAAGTGTTTTCATGATTATCTAGAGGACATGGAGAAAGGAGCTCACACAGTCACTGTGCCACACTGCTGGACTGTCTCTGGTTGCTCAGTGTAACAAATGGAGCTGATTGTTCTGCACAGCAGTGGACAACCAAAGTTGTGGATTTTCATCACTCACTGTAATACTGGAAGGAAGATCAGTAACACAGAACCATGAAATTTGCCAGCACCTGCTACAGATATCCTTACTATTTCCTTTGTGTCTCCAGACTTCTGATTTTTATGTATTTAATTTTAGTTCTGGATTAACTTGAATGTCCTTTGTGTATGTATCACATTCTGCTGGAAAGTTTTTGGTATATGGAACTTGAGTAACAATGTGAAGGTCAGCACAATAAGGATCTCATAAAGAAGTAAATGCCAAGTACTAAAAATATTAATAAGGAAAAATGCCGCATGGTAAGCATTAAAAAATCCTCCTGAGTTTAAGAATTCTCCCATCAAGTAAGAATATACAACTATACAACAGTACGACAGTGTAAAAATTCCTTCTAACTAGATGCTGAATAAAAAGATTGTGATACAGCCTAAAAAACCTTGAAATATTTCACACAATATCTGTGACATCTTTTTCAGGTTGATGGTTTGAACTCTCATAAAGGCGGGCAATAGGGAATTCTAAGGGCATCAGAGGGTATTGGTAAGAAATAGGGAGTGATGGAATATTTACTGTTAACCACTTTAAAGAGATTCAGAGGCACTGGAATTAATTTTACATCTTTCTGTTTAAAAAGGAAAAAAAAAAGC